CCAGCCTGGGCTACCAAGTGAGCGCCAGGAAAGGCGCAAAGCTACACAGAGAAACCCTGTCTCGAAAAACCAAAAAAAAAAAAAAAAAAAAAAAAGAATGAATGAATGAATGAATGAATAAATAAATAAATAAATAAATAAATAAATAGGCCATGGGTGATAAAGACACCTGACAGTGACACCTGACAGTGACCTCTGACTTCTACCTGCATGTACAGATACACATGAATGCGTTTGCCCCCACACAAAGATCCTGCTATGAAATAATTTTAAGAAAATACTACTTCTGCATTAATTGTCATAATTTTTATATTGAAATGTACAGTTTCTCAGAAACATAACCATTGTGGTGCTCTGATCTCAGAATCCTCCCCCACCTCCCTACCCCAGTAAGTGGTAAAGTCCACGGTGGTAGAGTTTGAATAATGGTGGCGTCTTCCTTAACTGGTCCTTTTCTTGGTTAGTGTCAAGTGTTCCAGAGAGACACCTGCTGGCCAAAATGTAGTATTGCGTCGCTGTTCTCTTCTGGAAATTATCACAGGACCTTAAGCTTTCATAGCACAGATATGTATTATAGTAGAATGTACTGAAGCTTCCTGCCTAAGCCCCTCAAACATACTTGCCATTTACAGATCACATCTGATGAACTAAGAAGTATTCAGACCTGAGAATTTGGTTCAAGGAGTAGAGATGTAACGGAGGAGAGGATTTCATGATAAAACCCTAGTCCTGTCCTTCCCCATGTTCAGTGGGGCTACAAAACAATCATGACCCTGGTCATTTAAAAGATTTTGAAAGGGGTAACACTTCTCCAAGAGCAGTTAGAGCTTGCTTTTTCGATGGCTTAGTTTTATTACATGAGAGGTGCGTTTGTTCCCATTCACAAACTTGGCAATGGAAAAATAAAGGCAGAGGTGGGAGAGGCGGCTCAGTGGTTAAGAGCACGTGTCACTTAAGAGGACCCAGGTTTGCTTCCCAGCACCCACAGGGCTGCTCACAGACACCCTAAGTTCCGTTCCAGGGATCTGATGCCCTCTTCTGACCTCCTTAGGCATGAAGTGTGCAGGCAGAATACTCATACATAGAAAAAATTTAAAAATCAAAACAAATTTTTAGAAAAAGAAATCCAGCCGGGCGTTGGTGGCGCACGCCTTTAATCCCAGCACTCG